GGGGTCACTCGCCTCTGGTCTCTGTCCCCTGGACGCGCCCTCCCACCCCGAATCTGAAGCCCGGCCCAGCACTGTTCCAGAAGGCTGGGAAGGTGGGTTGGGGCCCAGCTGACTTGGGAGCCTGTCCTCGATCCTCCTGCGCACCCCTGCTTGCCTCCCTCCCTGTCACATGGCGTCATAATCGATGATTCCCTGGTTGTCCCCGAGGGACCAGCCTGCTTGCGTCCTGAGGTCAGGGCTCACGTCTTCATCATTGTATCCCGGTTCTCCTGTGGGTGCCGAGATGCCAGGCTAATGGCTACCCTGAGGGGTGTCTGAGAGAGGGGTCAGAGAAAGGGAGGCCTCTGGGATCGGGGCCCTTCGAATGAGCTGGGCAAACTGCTACCATATAGTCATGTGTCCCGCCTCTTGGGTCTCGGTCTCCTTGCGCAGCCCCACCCGAAAATGACCACTGGTTATGTCCATGACCAGAGATGAGCCCAACTTGCTCTATGTAATTGTCAGAGGGCCCTGTTGGGCAGTGGGAGGTGGTCTTCATTCTGGGGGTGACCCTTGCCAAGCCTTCTTTCTCTTTGGAGTAAGACAGCTGGGAGATGGCGGGGATCCCCCTTTTCTGTACCTGCAGTGCACAGAAGTGAGCATGGTCCCGCTGGAGCCCGGACCCCTATGGGAGACCACGGGCCTGGCTGGCGCGGCTGTGTGCCATCTGCAGAGATGGGAACTCGGCCAGGAGCTGGCCACTCCCTGTGGGTGCTGAGAGCACAGGCCCAGGGTCCCGATGGGGCAGGAGGCGGGAGGACCTGGCTACGTGATAACCTAGTTTAGCAGGGTCCAGGAGGGACCAGGTCCAAGGCTCATCCGTGACTCCTCTCTCGTCTTGAAGGAGGCGGGAGGGCCTTTTGAGAAATGGGGAGCAGGGCAAAGGGCCTCCAGCACCTCTCCCTGGGGGAAGACTTGGAGGTCCGCAGCTCCAGGCCTTGAGAAATGACACTGGATCTTGACTGCTGCTCTGGTTCTGAGAATTCCTATGGGAGGTGACCTTGAACTTCTGCGGGGTATGAACTTGGCCTACGATGGGACGGGAAGTCACAGTACCCGTGCCAGGCTGTTCCAAAGCCCCCTGCTGCTGAGCAGGAGAGTCTGGCCTGTGGGACAGAGGTTGGATGGACCACAGCCACCCCACTCTGACAGCGTCGCTCATGCTGGTGGCTGGAGACCCCCATTCCTGCCTCTGAAAACCAGGAGTCCAGGGGATGAGAATGGGGCTCTGGGGGCAGCTTTGGGCCCTCAGCTCTGAGCTGCCACTTATGGGCTGTGGGACCTGGGAGGAGCTATCGACCTTCCTGAGCCGCGTTTGTCTGTCTGTGAAAGTGCTTAAAAGGGTTAGGGGTGGGGGATGGGGGGCGAGACGCTGGGACTGCCCGCAGCTGCGCGCTGGCTCCCAGGAGCTGCTCAGAACCTGGGCTTCTTCCGGCTGCTGGCTCCTCTGTCCTCTCCTCCTGGCTCGGGCCCCTTTCCTGGGCGGTGTTCTGGGCCCCGATTGCTTCCTCCGCCCTGCCTGTCCCCCTCCCCCAGCTCCATTCTCACTCCTCCCACTGCAGTGACTTCAGAGGCCTTTGGAGAGCAGACTGGGCAGCGGGGGCTTGGGTGGGGGTGTGTGTGTGGCCTCGGGGGCCAGGCTGCCTGATCTCAGGCCTGGCTTGGTGTCCCTGTGTCCCTGTGTGCCTTCCTTACCTCACCCATCAAGTGGGGATGATGATCGCGATGGTACCTCAGGGCAGGATTTTTGGAAAGGATTGAGTGAGTTAATGCACAGTATTTAGATCAGTATTTACATCAGCAGTGTCTTTGTGAGGTACCTGTAACCCCTCTCCTCCGGCTCCGTCCTCAGGGCCCTCCGCCCCCTCCCCACCACCCCACGCCCCTGGCATTCAGTTGGTGTTGCCCAGAAGCTTCACCATGCCCGGGCCGTTCCCTTGCACACCAGACTCGCTTGGGGCTTGGGGCTCTCGTTTTCCAGGCGCCGCTGATCTCTGAGTGCTGGAGACAGAGACGCCGTGAAGCGTGCAGGGGGCAGGTGGAAGGGGAGCAGGGAAGAACACTGCTCGCCCCTGCAGACCTAGCACCACCCTCTTTGTTCCCCTCAGAGCGAGCCAGGACCAGCAGAAGTCAGGGCGCAGTGGATCTGGCGGGGACCCAGGAGAAGCGAGCCGGGTGCAGACCTGGAGGAGCAGAGAGGGTGGACCAGGAGGAAGGAGGGGCTTGGTGGAGGAAGGAGGCCGCAGAGGCCTGGGAGCTGAACTGCCTCCTTCCCGTGCCTGTTCTCCTGGATCCCCGGGGACACTGTCGGGCTGGCCCGAGGTGCTGCCGGCCTCCCCGTGGACCACTGACTCATTCGGAAAGGTGCCTTTTTGTATGTTTTTTTGGGCCTCATGACTGGGCTTGTGAGGATGGAGAGTAGGGCCGTCAGCTCCAGGAGGCCCCTGAGGAACCAGGCGTGAGACCCACCCTGTCCCGGACAGCTCCCGGGGTGGGGGAGGGGAACGCGCGCGATGAGCAAGGCCGTGCAGAGGAATGAATTAGTGGGTCCAGTCTGGAATTTCTGATAGAATAATGACAACACAGCAGACACTGTTAAATAGAATAAGTAGAGTTCGCTGTTAAGTAGAATGTTGAATACAATTCAACATGACATCAACTCCTTTAGGCCTCAAATTTGATTGAACTCTCCAAATAGACCGGCCCTGGGGAGATAACACAGTCCAGCCAGCCGGACACTGTCCTCCGCCCACGGGCAGAGACGCTGTCCTGTGGTGAGCTTTTGCCCAGAGACGTGGCATGCACAGACCGGGCACACCCACGCCTCAGGCGTCGGTGGGGTGATGTCTCTGGCCAAAGCGCCTCCGAGTGGCTGGCGAGCTCCTGACCTGCATCCAGAGGGGGGTCTTAGTGGGCTGCATGATGCTTGAAGATGTTTCCCCCGAGCCTTTGCTGACTTTTCTTGCTGACTAACTAGCTTGAAGAGCAGGGAATTGGGGGCAAGTACCGCTGCCAACCAGAGGGGCGTCCAGGACTTGGACTCTCTGGGGTCTTGGCTATTCCCAATGTCCCTCCAGTAACACACGGCGGTAGTAATGGCCACCTGGGTCTCCTCCCACAGCTGTGCCGGACCCCAGCTTTTGGGCAGATGAATCGAGGCCCAGGGAGTGTGGGTTTCCAGGGAGCTGATGGGAGACCAGGGAACGCAGGACGGATGTCATGGGGCTGATACTGAGCCTTCGTGTCAGAGGAAGAAGTGATCCGTAAGACTGGCCACCTGAGGCACTGGAACTACAGTTAGTGACACCGCACTTGCCACGCCCCGGGGTGGATCCTGGCTGCCCGCGTGCAGGGACAGGCGGGCTCAAGGGCCCAGCCACACTGCATGAGTGAGACACGGCTATTCTGGGTGAAGCAAAAGGCCACCAGCTTCCTGAGCTCTGGCTCCTTAGGTGGGAGAGGGAGGGGAGGTCCCCACGCCACAGGTACCTGCCTTCAAGGAATTTCCCATGATGCAGAGGGAACAAGGTGTGGTTCTGACTCTGCCTACGGAACCACCTTGGAGGAGAGATACCTGGAAGCCTGTGAGAGAGAGAGGTTGCCATGGTGACTGGGAGCCCAGAAGACTGAGGAGTGAAGGGAGTCAGCTCAAGCCAAGGGTGACTGCAGGGCGGACACCTTCCCCTCCCAGCTCATTATCAAATGCTCTCCACTGGGCCTGGGCAGTGGTGGCACACTGTCTCATAGGCACCGCTCTGGTCTGTCGCCCAGGAGTCTCTGGCTGCTAAAGGAAGCCCAGGTTTGGGGACCACCGACCACCTGGGTGCTCTCTGTTAGGTGGGCCCTCTGGAAACGCCCTTCAGTATCTCCTGTACACCCAGGAGGCCCTCAGTGTGTCCAGGGCAAGCTGCCCTAGTGGCAACTGAGAAGCCGGCCACCAGCAAGGACAGGGCAAAGAGCGACATTTGGGGTAGGAAAGTGGCCATGCAGTTCCTGGGTGTTCTCATGTCCCCTCGCCCCACCCAGTCTTGGTTTCTGCTGCCCCGAACGCCCCTCCTTTCCCCTCTTGGCCAGCTCTCCTCTTTGCTTTTGTTCTCGGGTCCAGCGGCACAGCCTCCAGCAACCTCTGTCCTCCCTCAAGTCTGGGTTAGACGGCCCCTTTGCGGTCCTGCACCCACATTTCCCCGTCGAGCCGCAGCCCAGGGCAGTGCAGTGCCTGTGGCCTGGCTCTGTGTCGCACTTGGAGAGCAGGGGAGCGCAGGGAAGGTGTCTGTCTGCACCCAGCCCAGGGCCTGGCCCAGAGCAAGGCACTTAATAGATGTTTGCTTGTGTGGTGGGTGGGCGGAGAGACAGACCTGTGAGCCTGCATCCATCTCTGCAAACCTACAGACCACTCAAATGGGCGTCTACCTCTTCGTCTGACTCTCAGTGGAGCTGAGGGCGAGAACGGTCTTACAGAATCCCTCTGCAGCGCCCCCGGGGATGTTCTAGGATCAAGGGTGGGGCCAGGAGGACGTGAGGGCAACATGCACGTGGCCTCAGCTAGTTGGCAAGTTCAGAGGGCAGAGTAGTCAAGGAGAAGGAGTTGGAAGGGCAAGAAGAACCTGTGACACCCCCTAGCACACCCCGCTGCCTCTGTAAATACGGTATCACTGAGGATTGAACTTCCTCAGCTGGCTGACTCCCAGAGACTTGTCCATGGGGAATGTGCCTTCCCACCCCCTTCTCTGTTCACTCTTTGGAATGTTTGATATCTGTGACTTGTCTGGTCTCTTGAAATGCAAGTCGGTATCTCGCCCACGAAGGGAGCTAGGCTGGCAAACCCAGTGGGTCAGGGGTCAACCCTCCCCTCCCGCTCTGAAGGACCTCTGCTGCTCAGTTTGGTTCTAGAAGGATGCGAACGTGGGATCCAGCTCAGGCCCTCAGATATGGAAACATGAGGTGCTCCTTGGGGCATAGCCCACCCCAAGGAATTTCCCGACATGCATAGCACTTGGCTGGGAGAGTTGGCTGAGTGACTCCTGAATGCATCACGAGGAGTGAGAGCCAGGAAAGGGGGTGGCTGGGGGCAGGATCTAAGGGAAGCATCAGTGATGACAGACATTAAATGAGATACATCCAGCAACGCGCCCCAGCTACACGGAGGGAGGAGCCCTGTGCGCCCTCCCTTCCCCACAGACCCTGGACGAGGGTGCGCCCGCGTCATTGTCATGGCAAACCCCACCTCCAAGGAGATGGGTGTTGGATTTTGGTCATCAGATCTCCTTCTCCTGGTTGAGGTGGCAGGATGATGGGGAGGACCAAAGGTGAGGCCACCGTCAGCGATTTAGGAAGATGGACTTGAGGCTCTGGAAGAACATGGACTTCTGTTTCTGCTTCTGTTTCTTTTTGATGATGGGCACCCACACCAGCCCGCATACCAGCATCATGAGTCCCAGGGACAGGAAAGCAGGCCCTGTCATCTTAAGGACTTGAACGCTCACTTCACCCAGACTCAGGGTGTAGGCCAAGCACGTGATGGTCACGCCGAAGAGAAGGATGGCGCCGCCCACGGACATGATGACGATGGGCTTGCGGTAGATTTCCCAGTTACTCCTGGGGGCGGCGGTCAAGACAGACTCACTCCTGGAGCTTATGCACAGAGAGCTGGCGGTCTGGCTGGGCAGCAGGTCCTTGGACTCCGGGGACTTCTCATCCACCTCCAGGACTTTGGGGAGAACCTCCATCGTCACAGCTCCTCAGGACCCCAACACCTGGGACCGCAAGAGTCAGAAGAAGGGTGAGGCCAAGGGATTCCTCACACCCCTTCTGCCCTCAGAATCCGCCTCCAGCCTGGCTCTCAGTGGAGGGTCATGCAGGTCTTTTGTGCTGAAGCCAAAAAAAAAAAAAAAAAATCGTATGAGAGACACATGAAAAAGAAACCACTCAAACTGGTGTGTGTTTTCCTACAAGAGAACAGGGGTGCCCAGGAGACAAACAAATCCAGCAGAGTACTGGCTGGCATCTCATTTTCAGACTTTATCACTTTCTAGCTCTGTGGTCTGGAGGCAGTTACTTAACATCTCTGTGCCTCAAGTTTCTTAGCTATAAAATGGGATCCTACTGCTACTTATAGTGTTTTCTTTTTAAATACTTTGTTTTCTTTTTTTATCCTCACCCGAGGACATTTTCCCTTTTTTTTTTTGTTCAGACAGAGTGGGAGGGAGAGAGAGGAAGAGAGAGAGAGAGAGAAACATTGATGTGAAAGGGACACATTGAATGGCTGCCACCTGCATGACCAACCAGGGCCGGGGACAAACTGCAACTGAGGTACGTGCCCTTAGCAGGAACCGAACCCGGGTCTCTCTGGACCACAGGCCGATGCTCTAACCACTGAGCCAAACTGGCCAGGGTTTAAATACGTTTTTATTGCTCTTTTACAGAGTGAGAGGGAGAGAGAGATACAAACATCTATGTGAGAGAGAAACAATGATTGGCTGCCTCCTGCACGCCCCCTACTGGGAATTGAGCCTGCAACCCAGGTATGTGCCCTGACTGGGAATCGAACTGGGTCCTCTCAGTCCGTGGGACGACGCTCAATCCACTGAGCCACACTGGCCAGGCTATAGAGTATTCACCGGGGTTTGATGAGCTAAGACATGTGATACATTGGAACAATGTCTAGCATCTTTCGAGCACTCCATAGGTGGTATAATTTTGACAATAGTCAAGGGATACCTCACACAGTCGTGTGTGTATGCTGTCTGCACACTTCTTTCATTACCTCACAATACCCCTGTGAGTTAAGCATCCTATTTCACAGATGAGAAAGCACAGGCTCAGAGACGTGGAGCGATTTACACAAGGCCAGATGGCACCCAGTCTGCTCGCCTCTTACATCTCCAAGCTATGTATGGGCTGGAGGACTCTTAACACAGCCTGGGGTGATGTGTGCTTTGTCAGCACAGGACAGCGATGCCTCAGGTTCAGAGTGCGACCTTTAATGTCTAAATGACCCCATTCTCTACCACCCGTGTGAGTGACATCAGACTCCCACCTCCCTGTCTTAGGCCTGTGAGGGTGTGGGATCCAGCCTCAGTGCTCGGATTTCTCACTAGCGCCCATCAGTGTACCTCTCAGCCACCCGAGTTCTCGCAGCCCCTAGTCCCACGGGGAGGCAGATGGTCACCTGTGCGAGGCAATTTCAGAGCTGCTGAGATGCACCGCTCACCTGCCAAATGCTCCCCCAGAGCCATGCTGGCTCTGTCACCTGTAAGGTGGGATTGAAGCCTTTCAGTCCATGGTCGGAAATTATAGGTTCAAGTGCAAATGCCTATATATTTGCAATAAGTCAACAAGAGATGATTGATTTTAGATGCTCTCCGGATGTTAGATACTTTCTGGGTGGGGGAGGAAGGGGAGGCCAGGAGAGTCCAGGCCCCCTTCCTGGAGGTCATCACCAAGTCATCACCCTGACTCATCTTTGAGTTGTCTCCAAAGGGTCCGGGGCAGTGCTGTACCCTAACGATTCCACACAGTTATCATCGAATGAATAAGTGAATGAATAACTTCCTTTTTGTCCCCTCCCTCTCCTTCTCCATCCCTCCCTCTTTTTCCTCTCTCCCTCCTTCCCTTCCACTGGTTACCAGCAGTGAATCCGGCTTTCATTATAACACCGCTTGTACAAACTCAGTTCCTCCTACGGGAGCCTGGTGGCTGCCCTGCGTGAGCGTGGGTGCCCTGTGTTTGGGGACCATGCTGGCCTCCGGTGTCCTGAATGCACAGACCCTCTCTTCTCACCATTTTCCGCAGCGTCCCTGCCTGCCCAGAGCATGGTCCCCAAGCAGTGCTCTCTCAAGCCTCTGCTCTTCTCCCTCGTCCAGTGACCTGCCTTTGGTCCTTGGCTCCCACTCCCTCTCCTCCAGGTTCCCAGTTCCTCTGCCCCATCAGGCCCGCACAGACCAGCACTGACATCCCTCTTGCGAGCGGGAGAGGAGAGATTTCTCACCGCAGCAAAAAGTTACTGGGGAAGAAAGGAGGCTGTTCCTCAGAGGCACAGTGGATCCCCCCGACCCACCCCAGAGTGACAGCAGACCCAGACGTGGAGGGAGGTGCATTCTTGGAAACCATGGTGCCCTCTTGGTGAAAGACAGATTGGGAGAGAGGAGGTGGCGTCTGCAGCTGGGCGCCCAAGGCCGACCCCTGGACGGAGCTCAGCCACACGGAGAGGTCCCCTAGCGAACGGTTTCTCCTTCGACACTTCCGCAATGTCCGTGTACAAGGAATTCCTTTCGTTCCCACGCCTCCCGCCCTCCCAGGTACTCAGGCCTGAACCACCCTCCCCAAAGCACAGTGCTCCCACTTTCCAGAGCAGGAGCTGAACGTCCCCCCATTTGACCGGGAGGAAGTAGGAATCACAGAGTTGCCATGCCTTCAGGATGGAGATATTTGCATCGGTGTCACTCATCTAGAGAGCGGGCCTTGGGATTTCTGCTCCAAACACCGAACACATGACGGTGCGCTTTGCAAGTACGGACAGCAGGTGTTCGCGTCCCTCTCCAGCCGTGGTGCCTGCGCAGAAGCTAAGTAGTCATTTTATTTATTTATTTTTCATTATTGATTTTCAGAGAGAGAGGAAAGGAGAGGGAGAGAGAGATAGAAACATCGATGAGAGAGAACATCGACTGGCCGCCTCCTGCATGCCCCCTACTGGGGATCAGGCCCACAACCTGGGCATGCAGGAGGCGGCCAATCGATGTTCTCTCTCATCGATGTTTCTCTCTCTCCCTCTCCCTTCCTCTCTCTCTGAAAATCAATGTCCTGACTGGGAATCGAACCAGCCACCTCTTGATGCATGGGTCGACGCTCAACCACTGAGCCACACTGGCCGGGCAGTAGTCATTTTAAAGTCACCTTTTCTGGCCCTGGCTGGGTGGACCACTGGTTAGAGCATCAGCCCGTGCACTGAAGGTGCCCTGGGTTTGATTTCTGGTCAAGGACATGTACCTGAGTAGCAGGTTCGGTTCCAGGCCCTGGTTGGGGCATATACAGGAGGCAACCGATGGATGTGTCATTCTCACATCAATGTTCTCTCTCTCTCTCTCCTCCTTCCCCCACTTCCTCCCTTACACTCTTGGTAGAAATCAATGAAAAAACTACTCTCAGGTGAGAATTAACAACAAAAAGTCACCTTTTCCCCTGTGGACTGGGGGTAGGAAAGGGGCCATCGTGTTCTGAAATCCGAGCCGGGAACCTAGTTTCCCAGGTGGACGTTCTGACGTGTTCGGTAGGGTCTGCTCTGGGTAACAGCCATTCCCACCACTCACGGCGAAGGCCCAGGGCCGAGGGCTCGCTGCTCCAGATGCTGCAGCTGTTGCCATGGAGACCCTGGCGCCTCTGGACTGTGCCGAGGCGAGTGGGGCTGCAGCAGGATGCTCCCCAAGAGCTCCCCCTGGGTGTGAGGGGCGGCTTCAGGTGGGACCTCTGTCGGGGAGAATGGACGCCCAGACTCTGAGGGGGCAGGTGGCACTGACCGGGCCTTGCTGCGAGGAGTTAGTTCATTTAGTCCCAGTGTGTAAGGGCAGAGACAGGCCCGGAGAGACTGCGGAGCATGGCCGAGCAGCCCCACTTCCTACGCACTGCGCTGGGGCTGAGGCCACGGGGCTTTCGACTCAGAGGTCCTGTCCAGAGCACGCTGGTCAGGATGAGTCCTCAGAGCTCCTGTCCAGAGCACGCTGGTCTGGATGAGTCCTCAGAGCTCCTGTCCAGAGCACGCTGGTCTGGATGAGTCCTCAGAGGTCCTGTCCAGAGCACGCTGGTCTGGATGAGTCCTCAGAGCTCCTGTCCAGAGCACGCTGGTCTGGATGAGTCCTCAGAGCTCCTGTCCAGAGCACGCTGGTCTGGATGAGTCCTCAGAGCTCCTGTCCAGAGCACGCTGGTCTGGATGAGTCCTGAGGCTCCTTCAACCATGAGGGTGTCTGAAGTTTTCACTTTGGGGCTTCATTCTGCAGTAAACTAACCCCTTACTGAATATGAATGATGGAGATAAGTAATTATGGAGTGACTCACCAGACAATAGGGACATAAGGTCACCATTGTAAGTTTTTTTAGTGTTACATTGATTTAATTTTAAAGACTATTTTTACTCTGAGATTATGTCCTTCCTTCCTTGTTTGGCATGACTTCACTTTATGAAATGACTGTGATGGAAGATGATCACTGGTTTTGTTAGTTATATTTGCCAAGATAAAAGGTTAGCCAGCTTGTGTAATGTCTGTGTATGTATGTATGTATCTATCATCTATCATCATCTACATTTATTTAGTTATCATCTATCATCGAAATTGTAATGGCCCATGAAATCCCAAAGCGTGGGAACCTTTAATTTAATTGACTCACTGCCCTGGCCGGTGGCTCATTTGGTTGGAGCATCGTCCTGGGCACCAAAATGTTGTGGGTTCGATCCCCGGTCAGGGCGCGTAAAGGAGGCATTCAATCAATGTTTCTCTCTCACATGGATGTTTCTCTCTCTCTTTTTTTTTTTTTTTATCCTCACCCGAGAGCATTTTCCCATTTTTTGTTCAGGTAGAGTGGGAGGGAGAGAGAGGAACAGATAGAGAGAGAGAAACATCGACATGAAAGGAACACATCGAGTGGCTGCCACCCACACAACCGACCAGGGTTGGGGACAAACTGCAACCGAGGTACATGCCCTTAGCGGGAACCGAACCCGAGTCTCTCAGGACTGCAGGCCGACGCTCTAACCGCTGAGCCAAACCGGCCAGGGCTGTTTCTCTCTCCTGAGTGAGGATTAAAAAACATTTAATAGGGAAAAATGGCGGCAGAGTGAACGTAAGCTACACAGACCGTCTCCCAGAACCAAACTGGAA